GTGCTGGGGGATCGAATCGTGGTCCCTGTGCTTTGCTAAGCTTGTTCTAAGTAGGTGCTTTAGACCACTGAGCCATCTCTCCAGCCCCGAGACAGAGTCATAAGTCGCTAAACTGCCCAGGTCGTGTGGACTCTAACTTGGGATCCTCTTGCTTCAGTCTCCCAGTGTGCTTTGATTACAGGCCTGCACCACTACACCCAGCTCTGAAGTCACCTGGAGGCTCTTACTCATTTCCCAGTGAGAAAATCAAAGCTGGAGGAGGACGTGGTGGGCTGCGGAATTTGCATGGTGGAGCCAGACTGGTAGCCCCAGGGCCTGGCCCCCAGCAGCTGCCAGCCCTTTCTCTGCCTTGGTTTGCTCACCAGTGAAATGGGGGGTGATTTTAGGGCCAGCCAAAGAGCTCGGTGGATTGAAGTGCCTGCTTAGGGTCAGAGGTTCGATCCCTGGCCTGCCGGTCTGGCCCTGCCCCAGGGCACACCGAGGAGGTGACTGAGACCGGGCGTGGTGGTGTGAGCCTGGCTTCCCAGCTCTTGGGAGGCTGAACACAGGCAGACCACTACAAGGCTGAGTCTGAGCTGCGTAGTGAGACCCTGTAGATGCTTACTAATAAATAAATACATAAATAAAATGGAATAAGAACGAGCTGATCTCCGCCCCCGGATGGGAACGAAGAGCTTGGGTCTGAGCTGGGCCCGGCATGGCGCCTGGCACATAGTCAGCCCGCAGGAAATGTCACTGCACAGCTTGCCGCCAGGCCTCAGTCAGTGTGAGAGACTCAGCGAGGCGGAAGCGGGTGGTGTGGGGGGCAGTGACAGACGGTGACCTTTGTGGCTGATCCCGGCGCGGCCCTGCCATCTGCCGCGCCCCTCGCCTTCCTGCCGGGAGTGCTGAGTCTCAGCCGCCAGCTTCACTTTGGATCAGGAGCGTCTTCCTGTTGTCACGCTGTGCGGCGTGGAGCAGGCCTATGGACCTGGTCCCTTCAGGCCTGGCCATGGTGTCCTTGCATCACCTGTGGGACTGTGGGTGCTCCGGAAAAGCTTGGGGGACCCCAGAGTTTGCATTAGGGCTGCAGCTTCTGTGGCAGCAAACTGGGGAGCGGCCTCCCGCTCCTGGCCCACCCCCGCGGCAGCCCGAACCATTTTCCTAACCCAGAGAGTCTCTTTTCCCTCTTCAGCTCCCGCATTGACTCTGTTGAGCTCGGATCACACTGCAAACCCCTAGTGCCCAGTACTCAGCCGCGTCTGCTGTCTCTCCCGAGAGCAGCCCCCAGCACTCGCAGTAGTTCCTTGTAGAGACCACCCTCATTTTTCTTTTTTAATTAGATAGGATCTCATTATAGAGTTCAAACTGGCCTTGAACTCACTCTGAGGTCCAGGCTGGACTCAAACTCACAGCTATCCTCCTGCCTCAGCCTCCCAAGTCCTGAGGCTACAGGCGTGCGCCAGCATGCCCAGCTTAGGTGCCACCCTACTTTTCAACCTCAGGGCCTTTTCACCGGCTCCCTCGCTGTCCAGGATCTCTTCTCCTACTCTGTCAAGCTGGGTCTCTGTCACACAGACTTAAGAGCTCAGAGGCCTCCTGGCTTCAGTTATTCTGTTGTGCTTCCCTCCTTTCCCCCGCTGGGAACTCACCCCTGCTGCCCCCTTCTGCACATTTGTTTGTTTTCCTGTTTGCTATTGGCCTCCCTTCTCGGCTGGGGGGAATGGGCCACTTCTGCCTGCGCAGCTGTGTCCATGAGCTAAGAAAGGTCTTTATATGGGAAACAGTTGGGGGAGAACCCAAACATAAAGCGCATCAAAGTGTGAGAGAGCCCAAGTGTGAGAGAGCCCCGAGAAAGCCCTGTGCCCCTCTTACTTTGGGCTCTATATGCAAAGGGTTATTAGGGTCCACTGTGGGAATGCAGGGCCGGACTGCCCCTTTGGTGACCCAGGGCCACCTGGATGTGTCCATCCCCTAAAACACCTTCTCCAGGCCCTCACTGCCCACCCCCTAGCCTTGTCTGCTGCCCCACGTGTCACCCACACCATCTCAGGGGGAACTGTGTAAGAGTTGGAGGGTTAGTGCGGGCCATCCTTGGGGTCTCGGAGATGGCAAGGTAACATTTATACACTGGTCTTTGTATGGAGATGAGATGGGGCACAGAGAAGCTGGGCAGGTGCTCAGGGTCGCACTTGGGGTCACACATCCAGTGAGCAGTGGAGCCGGGTCAGGGATCCAGGCTCTGCGGAGCTGCCTTCATTCACTCTCCCTACTCTGCTGTCC